GATATTACTGTTGTGTCATCATCAAGATGTTCCTCTGTGCCAGATCCATTATGAAGCTTTTGTGCATTTTCAGCTTGTTGTGCCTCCTGCACCAAGAGAGATTTTTATTAAAACAGTGGAGAATCAGTTTCATCGCCGTCAGCAAGGGAAAGTTTCACCAAAAATGCAAAAAAGAAGAGAGGAAGAAAACAGATAATTCTACAGCCGATTGTGATAACACACTCTCACAAGGAAATCACTTCACTGATGTTTATCCATTCACCACCGAAGACCCCTCTGGTAATGTTTTTCCCCCCTTGTTTTAGAGGATTGCAAAAAGTTTGAGATATTGCATTTACAGTTATTTGATCCGATTTTTCAATGAGAATTTATATGAATTATTCTACATACATTAAAGTGGACAAAGGATTTAAAAAGAGTTTTGAGAAAAAGAAGAAAAACATCTTTCTCTTTTTACCCTACTTCTGTTTTCTCTGTTATTTCAACATTTGATAATATCATTCAAACATCTACAGGATAGCTGAGGCCAAATATGTTTTAACGTTCATGTCAAACAAGAAAAGGAAACACGCAGAAATACAACCTTAGATCCTGGGGGAGGTGTCAGACCCAAAAATTCATAAACTGAGTTGTCCTCTTTGGCTTCAAAGAATGTGTCATAGTCCTGCAATTCAGGAAAATATTATTAGCATTTTATAGCAATTAAGGTAGCAACACAGCAATGTAATTTCAGTAAACTTCAAAAGAAGCTATCAAACAGAATGCTCATGCTGTTTTTTTCTATAAAACATGGATGTAGACTTATTTGCACTATATTTCAAATCTTATGAAGCCATGCAATAACTTACAGTGAAACGGGTCTAATTTTTTATTGCCATTATTCACTAAATTCAATATTCTGTGGTTTCCAGGTATTGCAAACAAATAAGTTCCCTGTGTGTATCCAGAACACACAAAGTTACGTTTTCAGAAGACATGAAATACAGCACACAACTTTTGCTCATTTAAGAAATAAGAAAAAAAGTATACAGGTTTTGAGCAAAATTAAGGGGAAGGGGTGTAAATGATGACAGTATTTTTATTATAGAATGAATCGTCCCTTATAGACTTGAATGATGAAGCTTAACAACATTTTAATAACTAGATTACAAATGTTTTAATATAGCTGCTCCATCATGAATTTGTAGGTTAGCTTGGGAGACTAATTTATGTAAAAGGTTCTTTTGCTTTGAAAATGATAATTCTCTTCCCGTTTTTAGAGCTCTTTTGAATACGTTTTAGTGCTATATTTCTGCTCTGTCTTTGATTTTACATCACTTAACCTGGATAAACAAAAAAACCTTCAGTCTTGACTCACATTGTGATTTTGATTTAACATTAAGAAGAGCAGTTTTACGGTAACCTCGGTTCTAGCGGGTTCTTACCCCACAATACATCTCCTCATTGAAAATCTGTGGAGGAAGAGGAATTCCATTGGTGGGCTTCTTTTCTCCAGGGACATTTTCCCTCATCCACATCCGGTTGTCCTCGTTTGAAGCAATGTCAAACTGTGTGTAATCAATTTTAAGGGCCTCAAGAAACCCGACAACATCTTGCTGTTTCTTTTTGATCTGTGGTATTGGTAATAACAGAGTACTGACATGAATCCCAAGACAAAACAACATTTTCAAAATTTCTCCACATTCTAAATTTCTCCAAATTCAAAACACATTCCAGATAATAAATATATGTGAATTGTAGTAGATATCTTGAATAGGGTTGCAAAGGGGTGGAACATTTCCGGAAACTTTCCAAA